TCGTAGCACCGCTTGTCTTCCTCTCCCGCCCGCGCACTGTGAGGGGGGTCACGGGTGCACGTGCCGGACGTGTTTGGTTTTTGTTTTGTTGGGTGTTTTTTGTTTTTTTTTTACAGCACCTCTTCGCATCCCATTTGTATCGTCTTTTCCGTTCCGACTTATTTCTTGCCGTGCTTCCCACCACTCCTCCACCCGCGCCCCCGTCCCTCCTTCCCCCTTTCCGTCCCTTTCCCCCCGTCCGTTCCCGCCCCGCCGTGTCCCCTCACGGCGCCGCACGAGGGGAAGGGCGGAGCCTCGCCCGGGCCCCGCCCCTCCGCCTGCCTCTTCCTCACGGCAACGCCACGCCCCCCGCCCGCCCATTGGCTGCCCCCGCCCCGCTCCCCGCCCCCCCCCGCCGCGCGGCACGCGCCTCCCGCCCCATTGGCCTCTTCCCCGCCCTTCATTTGCATGACGCCCCAGCCGCCAATGGGCGGCCGCCGCCTGCTTTACATGCAAGGAGGCGGCCAATCAGCGGGCGCGGGGGCCGGGCCACCACGTGCTGTTGCTAAGCTTCGGCTTCTAAATTGTTACTACACGGGCGGCCAATGGGCGCGGGCGGCGGGGATCTGTCAACATCCCCTGCCCCGCCGGGGGGGCGCTCTGCCCGCCGATTGGCGCGGCCGCCCCCTCGTGTCCCGCCCCCGCGCCCGTCCGCGGCCCCCGATTGGCCGCGCGGGCTGCCCGTCGGCCGTGTGTCAAATGTAGGTTGAGCGAGGTGCCTTAAAACCGGGGGCTCGGGAGTCCCCGCGCGTGAACTCGGCGCGGGGGGCTCGGGACGGGCAGCCATGGAATTGAACTCCCTGTTAATCCTGCTGGAAGCGGCCGAGTACCTGGAGCGGAGAGACCGAGGTACAGGGCGCAGGCGGGCAGTCGGTCAGGCACCCGCAGGCGCTCCCCGCCGCTCTCGGCCTTTGTTGTGCGGCGGCCGGGCCGGGGCAGCGGCCCCGCACCTGCCCGGGGGGGACCCGGGCTGCGGCGGCGGCACCGCGCTGGGGGAGCACCGCTGCTCGGAGCCTGGCTTGTTTTTTATATATATATATCTCTATATCTATGATCCCCCAAACAAACCCGGGACGGGTGTTGTGTGCCGCCCTGGATGGGGACGGTGCGTGTGCAGCGCTCAGGATCCCTCACGCTGCTCCGTGTGTGGCAGTCGGTGATTGTATGGCAGCTCCCCTCCCCCAGCGCAGCGTGACAAGGGTTTGCATGATCCACCTCGTTTTTTAGTGTGCACTCCAATAATCCTCCTAATTTCGGCACTTCGGTGGTGGTTTTTTGGTTTGGTTTGGTTTTTTTTTTTTTCCCCCTTTTGGTTTACCGAGTTATGTTTTTTTTTTGTGTGTGTCTCGCTTCTTTAAGAGATGCCAGAATAAAATGCAAACAAATCAACCGGAAAAAATTCTGTTCTTTACCCTAGCGTTCCTGCAAAGGAGGAAAAAATTGCATGGAAAAAATATATTGCCACTAATGCTGACTTTGTCCCTAGAAGCAGAACATGGCTATGCATCAGTGTTACCCTTCGATAGTGACTATTCCAGAAAGAAAACAAAGGCAGGCACCATGGCCAGAAAATCCCAGAATAACAGGTAATAGACGCACCGCTTTTTCAGAATGAATCGGCAGCTTTTCCAATGTGTCTAGCTTATGTGCAGTGCATACATTTATGAAAAATAATAACTAATCCAGTGTCTCAGTTTTCCCCATCCCGGTAGTCGCCATTTTTCCCCTGGATGGGCTTGGCTCTGTTTTGATCTCTCATATAAACACTGCCACGCGTACACCATCTCCTTAGTACTCACTGCACTTCTGAGCCATCCGCCCTCATCGCTCCTTCTGCTCCGCGCTCACCGACAGCGGCTTTCGCTGCAGACCCAAACACCATCATCGCCACCCAGATTTCTCTTTGCATGGCACTAATTTCCACCACCACCACCACCCCCCCCCCCGCCCCCCGGCATTTATTTATAAACCACAGGCAGCGATCCGGCCGCCTCCCTCCCCTTCCCCCCCCACCCCCCCCGAGCAGCCCGAGCAGATGCAGCCTCCGGTTGCGGCGGCGCTGGGCTGCGGGCGGGGGAGCGGCGTGTGCGGGGCGGAGGGGGGGGGGCACCCACCGCGAACTCCAACTTATCCTGCCGGCCCGAGGTGCGGAGGTGCCGGGGCGAGGCTG